CCTTTTGTCATCGGTCTCCTAGCACCATACAATGTATCACTCGATACACCACCCGATCCTAGTCCTAGTCCTTCTCTGCCTCCTACATAGATTAGACATCCTGGATCTGGCCTCGCCGGCTTTGAAGCTATTGATATTACTCGTAGAAGCAGAAGGAAAAACAACACTACACTCAGTACACCCAAAGCCATCTCGAGTCTTTTTGTCTGCCGTCCTGCCATGCCTCTTCCTATTCCAGATATCCTTAAATCCTCTTTCCTTTCACCTATTGATCACTTTGATTGTATTTCTGCTCTTAATCTACTTATCTCAACTTGTGTTAGGTTAAGTTAAGTTGAGTTGGGTTGAGTTGAGTTAGGATGCAAATTAGTGCTGGCAACGACTATCGCTTACTTAATTAGGGGGTTGGTACAGGGTTAGTATTGGGTTGAGTTGGGTTGGGTTGTGGTGTGCCAGCTCGGGTTAGGCTTATTCGGGCTAGGCTAGGATAGGTCGGCTTGATCACTTCAAGGAACTTTTCCCACTTTGCATTAGTCCATGTTAGGTCACCCAACAAAGCAGTCAATCTCGTCTTCAATTTCTCTGGAACGTCTTCTAATAAGTAACTTAGCTTTGTTGGATCCTCTTCCGTTTGTATCGAGTTGGGGTCGAATAAGCTCTCTGCTAACTCAATCACTAACAAGGGAGTGTCAAATATCCGCAGCATAATAAGAATCAATTTGAATACTTCTTGGCCCTGCCACATCCATAGAAGTCGAATGCGCATGGAAAGTCTGCATCTGACTCTGTTTAGCAAGCTAAGCTGTTCAATATACTCCAGGCAACGAGATGCGGGTATTTTCTCTTTCATGTAGAGCATAATATACCTTAGTTGTTTAGCGGGTTTGGGAAATACATTATCATCTAAGGAAAGGTCCCACTTAGATAGCTTAGAGTCATATGCCCATTCATGGTCTTCGTACTTCCTAATCAGGTGGATTTCCTGCAGACACTTAACTAGTGGAGTATCTGGTATTGTTGGGTTGGGTGGCTGGGTTTGGGTTAGTTTAGTATTGGTTGATGGTTGAGAACTCACTTCTTCTTCCTTTTCTTCCTCTTGGACAGGTGCTAAATGCTGAACTCGTTCTTCTGGCCCCTCTCCTGGCCGCTTCACATCCTCATCCTCATCTATCACATCCTTTTCTTCCTCTTGGACAGATGCTAAATGATGCACTTGTTCTTCTGGCCTCTCTCCTAACCCAACATCCACTTCAGTTGAACTGGCACTTCTTGCCGATTCTTGGCTTTTTGACTCCGCATTAGCATCACTACTTGGTATAGAGTTGGTTTGGGTTGGGTGGAGTTGTGGTGAGTTGATTTGTGGTGGATTGTTCTCTTCTACTTGCGTTGCGGAATCCACTGGGTCGACTTTCATGTGTTTGCTCGTCTGGGTTAGTATTGGGTTGGTGAGAGAAGACTCCGACTGCTCGGGGAGTTCTAGATGCTCTGCATCACTACAGGCCACCTTCATGCCCTGCCACTCCAACCAATACATTCCAAATAACAAAACACTAACCAACAGAACCCAAAGATAAGATCTCCTAACTCGTATTGCTTGTAAGAACCTGAACATGCGAATTTTCTATCTCTTCTATCCTTTTAATTTACTATCTCACTATTCCTTGATCTTTTTGATCTTTTCAAACTCAAACCCAACCCAGTTTATTAAGCCTAACCCAACCCAACCCATCCCAACTTAACCCAAACCTACCTTAACATTGCACACATAACCCAACACCAACACCAATCCCAATACCAACCCCTATTTCTTATCTCTAAATTCTCTTAAATTTCAAAGACAATATTCACTAACTCAACTCAACTCAACACAATACCAACACAAACCAAACCATCATAATACTAACTAGACTTTTATTAAGTTGGGTTGGCATTAGGCGACACTAGTGGATAAGCTTCCACCTGTTTCGTTTTAATATCGTATTTTTCGCCGAGCAAATCAAAGAAGGCGTTCCAAAACACATTATTACATGCACTAATGATCTTAATAACAAGTTCATTCTTTTTCAGCTTCGCGGGGATGTCCTCCAGTAAAGGTCTAAACCTATATATTGGTTTCACATCAAACGGGGCCATACTCATGTCTATCCAGTCTAATTTGATTATAGGAGTATCCGCGATCCGCAGTAGAAACAATAACAGCTTAAGTCGGTCTAGTATCACATTTGTCGTTGACTTTCCGACAATCCATACCTGATCCGGACTAGTGATCTTTTTCAGGGGCTTTAAGACTTCTAGATAGTGTTTGTAGGTTATTGATTCCTCATTTGGGTTAGTACTAGTTAGGTTGAAAATTGAGATAATATAAAACCAACCCACGTCTATTTTCAGTGCCTGGCGGCGATATATGTCGGAGACTTCATATACGCCCGGTATTTCTGTCAAATTAGACAAATAGTCTGTTAGTTCATCTACCTGCATGTCTTTTAGCATTTTCGTTCGATCCTCCTTTGAAATCATCTTAAGAGTCCAGCCTATGGTGCCATCTGAATTACGAGATTCTATCAACCGGTCTCCTACCAAAGGTTGAACTATTATACCCAACAACTCCAAACAAGCAGTTATTCTTTTTCTCTCTAACTGTATTTGGTGTTCTGGCATTTCGCTATTGAAGTTATCTAGACCAGATAAATCAAAAGCATCCCTTTCTACGCATGGACCATCTTCTAAGAGCATTTGAGCGAAAGGATACCAGAATTCGACACTTGACTGTAACTCCATTTCATCTGAGTTAGTACTGCTATCACTACTACTACCCAATACCAGACCAAACCACACCATAACACAACATAACCACATTAATAGTAACTTCAAACTCATTCCTGACATACCTTTTTCTTATCTCTGCATTTTATTAAATTTCAAAAGCAACCATCACTAACCCAATAATTCACCCCCATAAATCCATACCAATCCAGCATACAATCAAGTTGATACTAACCCATTGCTCATTGAACTAACTCAACCCAACTCAACCCAACCCACTACTATATTCAACAGAGGCATTAGCTTAGATCACTTCACCCCAACTTAATATGCATTGGGTTAGTATTGCCATGGTATTGCGGTAGTATTGCGACAATATTGTGTATACCTTATCTATTTGGCTTGGTGATGTGCCTCGGGGAAGGGATATTACCTTTCAACCAAACATACTCAACTAAAGACCGATTTTGAAGAGGTTAGTATTGGGTTGGTATTGGGTTAGGTTCTCTTTATCGTACGTCATCTTGAGCTAGTCTGTAAACTCATAATATAAATACTAATCTGAGCTTGTGATTTCTAATTCAAGATTTTAATCGCGTTCGCTGCGATCAGTGCCAAGTCGATAAACATTACAACACTACACTCCTGTAGATAATTCACTTTGATGTGGAGGCCGGCGAGGACACCACAGCTATCATACGACATTTTGATATTCAGTAAGTAATTCATATGGAAATGTATGACCTAGGGACATACAACAAACCCAATACCTACTCGATCTTTGCACCTTAAATCACTATTGGATTAGTATGATGATCGTAGATCAGGTTTGAAGAAAGTATAAATGTAAGCTTTGAGGAGAGGTGGACAGGATGAAGTTCTCTTTTGGAATGTTAGGAGTTGGTCTGGCTTGGTTGCTGGGTTGGAGTAGTGATATGACTAGTGGTCAAATGACTGGTGCTGATGCTGATGATAACACTAAGATAAACTGGGAAGACCATTGTGTTAAATCTGATAATGGTCTGCAGATAGCCAAAGAGGCAATTAGATATGATGCTAATCCAAAGTGTTCAGAGGTGGAATTTAAGGTGGGGGATGCGTTTAGGAGGGATAAATCATCAGATTATTATGTAGTTCTGTGGTTGCGGTTGTTAAAACCTGGGTTGTTAAGTGATTATGATATAAACCGTATTGTTGCAATGATGAACAACTGCCGCCGAATTCATAGTCTGGATGCTAAGACTTGTCCTAATGATCTTGAGAAAGGTTCTCTTTTGCTTGCAATAGATAATCTCATATGTGACATTGAAAAAGGGCAGGCCGCATGTCAAGGCTATATTGAAATGCTTAAAAAGCTACCAAAGAGTGTTACAGGAAAGGACGCTGGCTCTTCACCTATATCATTGGACTCGAGTATGTATAAAGACCTTCACAATAAAGTTAGTGATCTTATACAGACTTATAGTCCTTTCCATCTTTTCCGCTTTCCCGCCCTGTCACTTGATTGGGCTAATGATAGTAACAAAGAAGCGTTTGAAACTTGGAAGATGCTTATCAAAAACTCAACTGTATCTAACACAAACATTTGTGCTCAGAAACAGCTTAGACACTTCTTGTACAATGTACTACGTATGCAGCTGATGCTCTCTAGCCTTTCGATGCTTTCTAATCCACCTCTAAGTGGTTATCCTGCTCTCACAATCAGCAATGACGACCAGAAGCATATAGACGACATTTTGAAACTAAACATTGCTGCTATGATAAAGAGCATGCCAGCAGATGAAGCTGCCGAGAAGGTGCGAGAAAAACTATCGCATAGTATTGGGTTAGTAACTAAGTTTAGATCGGCTTTTGAGCAACCTGGTTATATAGATCGATTGAATAGTAAATTTGAAAAGACATACGGCAATAATATGGGTCACTTTACAGCTAAAACTATCAAGCAGCTAATCGATGATTTGATGGAAGTTTCAAAATGGTTTAAGTTTCTACTAGATAAGACCAAAAAACTACAAGCTCAGCTTAAATCTCAATTAACAAATACCACAACTGCCTCTAGTATTCATGAGTGTGTAGAATATCTAGCCACTAACCCATCGTCTGCATCCTCTCTCAAGTCCAGTTGGATACCCAATTCTCCTATTCTTCACATACTTATAAGCAGTCTGTTCTGGGCCCGTCTCGCCCATTTACTCGAACTGTCTCACTGATAGCTTGTTTACTCTACTCACCCTAACCTACCTCAACCCATCTCATCTAAAGACTAACCTCAACTTAACTTAAGTAATAAAGCTTATTGTCATTGCACAACTCTTATTAGCTTAGTATAGCACTGTATATTTTATGCCATACAACACGTAAAGTTCTGATAAGTAAAACAACTCAATAAGAATCTAAATCAAATACTTAACTGTAATATTCAGAGTATCAACCACCATTATTTTCTTGTATTGAGTTGATTTTGGGTTAGTTGCATTGCAGTATGTTTCGCAGGAGATAAGCACAAGCCAACATATCTTTATTCTTCATCAGCAGTTCCAGGAACAAGAGGTCAATCAAATTGAGTTAGAGATTGGTAGAGTACAACTCCAAACTATAAATACAGAAAGGAGTTGGCTTAAGAAGATACCAACTCAATACTAACACTTTATTCAATAAATCCTACGAGCGTCCGGTCTGATTATGTTTTGGTAGAAGTACTACTGGTTGAAAACAGCGTGTAGCCACTTGCCAACACGACAGTTAGTATATGGCTACATTCTACTTAAGTCATGAAGTAACGGTAATTATGGGCCAGATTTTGTCTAAATCGTCAATAGACGTATTGGGGTGGTATATCATTAAGTCATAAACCAGCGATAAAATAAGGCTTGAGTAAGATATGAGTAAGATATGAGTAAGGCCTGAATCTACCTAACCCAATGGATAATAAACTTATCTTTATTGAAAGCCTGGAGATAAGCAATTAATAGAAGTGATTGGGATTAGTATGGAATTTGTATTAGATTGATACGGCGGTGTGGAGAGGAGCAGGTGCAAGGCAGACTTGTGGATGTTGTAGAGTAGACAAGTTAGGTCTTCTTGGAAACCATTCGTGGTGCTTGGGATTTCTGATTATCTGAATAAATGTCTAGAAGTAGGGCCAAAGTCTACTTAAGTGAGGCCCTGAGTTTGTTCAACTCATCAATTAGCGTTAATCAGCTAATGAATAAACGATTTGGTGTGAGGAAAGAGTGGTGGTTGGGTAATTCCAGTTGTGCAGCTGTGCGTTGTTCGTTGAGAGATATAACTTTGTCCGGTCCATTCCATTTAGGCGCCAATTTTGAGACTTTATGTATACGGCAATAACATAATCTCCTGGTTTTAGTTTGTGGAGTAAAGGTCTCGGTGATCTACCACTACTTTGTTCTTGTCCTTGCGCATTTGATGGTGCTATGATAGGCTTGTTGTAATCCGAGAGAAGCATGAATGGCTACGACAAGCCGGGTCTACTGAGGAGTATTCCTTTCTTGCTGATGTCAAGAGCTTGTAGCCGTATGCTTTCGTGATGGTTTGTCCATTGGTTTGGTGGGCTCTTCTTGCCTGTCGTGTTGTGTATGAGATCAGTCAGTAGCAGAATCAGCTCGCTTAGTCCGGGAATGAACTATCTGACCCAATACTAACCCAATACCAAACCAACACGTTACTGTTATGTAGTAGAACCAATGGCTTAGTAGAAATGGCGAATATGTTCCTCTTCCGTTGCGGAGTGTATGAGGATGCCGTCTAGGAAGACTTTAGCGAAGTCGAGGTCGCCAATGATGTCTTGAATAGTCTTTTGGAAGAAGCGTGGTGCGTTCTTGAGCCCAAAAGGCACGCGCGTATATTCATAATGTTGATTGTTGAAAAAGAAGGCCGTGTATTGGCGCGACACTGGGTCTACTTCAATTTGGTGATAACCTTGCCGAAGGTCGATTTGGGAAAAGACGACACTGTGAGAAATGCCCTTGATCACGCCTTCTACGTTAGGAAACGGATAAGCTATCGGATGCGTGTGAGCATTGATAGGTCTGTAGTCAATTATAAGTCGGATGCTGCCGTTCTGTTTGTGAATTGGGTTGATATTGGGATTCGTAGTCTGTTACAGGTGTCCTCCGAGATGATGCTCGTATACGCTCCTGTGCCTAGGCAGAACTGAATCAGATGGTTTGCGACCTTTCCTTGGAGTAGCGGGGATTGCCCTGAGGCAGGTTCCTCTCTAATAAACCAAATACTAGTCTAATACTAATCCTAGATGAGCTCCTATTGCCGCTTGCGCCTCTTGGATGCATCGCCGTGTTGTTGTTGTGCACGACAGTCAGCGGTGCTGTGTGTAGTGGACTTGTGGTAGTCGCAATACTGTTTTGGTTTGCTGGGTTTTGTGCTCTCATTCTGATTGAAACGTGGCCTGTTCGTCGTCCTTGATGTGCGGCTTTGCTTTGCCTCACTCTCTGGATCCTGACTTCTTTCTGTCGGTATGTCCCCATAATCGTCGTGCTTGAGCGTTCTGTGCAGTACACATAATGCGCCCTCGTCCCACTGAAGTAGATACGCCAGAACCGACTCTACGTCCTCCAGCTTCATTTCCTTTTCCTGTAGCTTGAACTGGGTCATTGGCGCGATTCCTGCTAAAAATACCTCTCGAAATCTGCTACAAGCCATTGGGTCGTCGCGGATGTTGTTCCGATAACGTCGTGTCCATCTCTCCACCGCGTTGTAGTATCTCCGTATTGTTGTAAAAGCCCCCTGCGCTGGACTCGCTTGTGAATAATAACTTGTTTTCATTGTCTGGGCGTGTACGTACCGTCTGAGTATGTCCTCTGTCGAACCTTCGAATGTTAGAGTACTGGGATACTCGATTGGTACTATGAGTTGGAGTAACTCGTAAGCTGCCTCGGCGGTGTTGATCCCGTTTCGTACGAGATACCTGACGATTTCCTTTTCCCAATTGAGTAATGCGTCGATGTCACATATAGGTGGTTTTGGTACAGAGAATGAGATGGTGTTCCCAAAGATTGCATTCGGAGGGATGGTCGCCATCTCAGTATTTGCCTTAGTCGCATTCGAAGATGTCTCTGACTCCCGATGTATTAGCCCTTCTCTCAACAGTGAATTCACTATATAGTGCCCATGAGTAGGAAAGTTTCCTGTAACTAATACAAATTCCATCAGTGACATACCTCGATACGACATGCGTGAACCTTTATTAAATGTTGACAAGGTCGGATGCGAAAATGACGTCATAATCAAATTTTAATAATCCCAGGGTATCCGTTAAAATTTGATATGTTTCGAATTCTCTACTAACCCAATACTAATCCGACAATGAATAAATGACTTGACGCGAGAAAAGAGTAATGGTTGTGTAATGGCACTACAGAAGACAACTGTTGCTAATTAAGTAGAGTCCGGGTTCTATCTACTTCTGGACTATCTCAGCCTGGCATCAAAAACCAATACTGTTGTGCCCCAGGGGTGGATAAAGACCGCTCATCCAAATATACTCAGCGAGAGACAAATCATTATTCAGGCTAATGTAGGTTTATTATTGTATTGGTTTGGATTAGTATTGGGTTGTTTAATGTAGTAAGGAATAAACATCTACATTATCTGCACCCACTCGTTTAAAAGTAGAGATATCTCGAGAGCCTCCTAAAGATGTGTGAGGGATGGCACAGACACCACAGAAACGTTCCACATCGCACTTTCTCGTTTGTCCGCAGAGCCATTATTCGTTGTGAGTAGGATAGCTCATCCACACTGGGCAAAATCTGGCATGCTTCTCCCAGCACATAAACCCCTCCTCATCTTCTTCATACTTGAGAAGGTTCAAATTCTTGGTCTTTCTTCTCCCGCCCCGCGTGCTTTCTCCTGGTCCTGCCGCTCGCACAAGTCTTTCCAGTGTTTGGCGAAATCGGCTTCTCTCTCAGCCCTGCCGTCCTTCACTTTAATATTGCAGTGTTCTTTGATCAATTTACCGAAAGCCTCCCAAAACTCATGATTACCTGTTTTGATAAGATAGAATTCAATCGATCGCTTCTCCGAGGTCTTTGGGACATCCTTCATCAAAGAGCTAAACCTTTCCAATGACTTCAAGTCAACTGGGACCAAAGGCACGTCAGCCCAGTCTATTGTAATTATAGGAACATCCATAATCCGTAGTAGATACAGTAGCAGCTCAAGTTGGTCTAGTATCTCCACCTCAAATGACAGTCCGGAAATAATCGCACAATCCGGACTGGAGATCTTCTTCAGGGGTTGTAAGTCTTTTAGACATTGTTTGTAGCTTTCCAGTTTCATCTTTGTGCTAGTGTTAGTTACGTTAGAAATTGGGTTAATACGACAGTCGCACACACTTACATGCAACCACCCCGCTGTATATTTCGCAACGATTTCCTTTACGCCTGGTGTTTGCTTCAATGTTTTCAAATACTCTATTAGTTCCCAGACACGCATCTTTTGTAGTATTTGTTGTTTATCCGGTAATGACGCCAACTTAACAACCCAATCTGAATTAGAATCTACTGTCAAACAGTCTCCTACTAAAGGTTGAAATATACCCAAGCATTCTAACCAAGTAGTCATTCTTTCCCGCTTCAACTGTGCTTGATGTTCTGACATTTCGGTATTGGGGTTATCTATGCCAGACCGATCAAAATCTACACATGGCTTGTCTGCACCCAATAAACAAGCTGCCTCAGTCGATAATTCGGTGTTTGGCTCTAGCCGCATTGCATCTGAGTTAGTAGCGGGATTACTACTACCCACTACCACACCAAATCTCACCAAAACAAAACATAACCACGCTAATACTAACTTCAAACTCATTCCTGGCATTCCTTTTTCTTATCTCTGCATTTTATTAAATTTCAAAAGCAACCATCACTAACTCAACTACAACACTAAGCCAATACTAGCATCACAATACTAACCCAAACAAGTTAATAGCAGCTGTTTATCAAACAAGAGATCTGTTTAAGTTTTATTGGGTTAGTATTGAGTTAGTAGGAGATGTGGTGCCCCAACCCAATCCAATACTAATCCAATACTAATCCAATCCAACCCAATTGAATACTAACCCAACCCAGTCTTATCTGTGCGACTTTGGCTTGTTCCGATGGAAGTTGTTACGATAGGATACTTTCTGCTCCCTTAAGTAGATATCATAACAGATTTCTTCAAACCTCTGTCTTTCTTCTACCGCAGGGTTAAACACTTGAACTAGTCTTGGATGGGGTGCATTTTTGTTTATCTCGCCTATGAACCTAGCCCATGTAACTTTCTGAGTAGCTATATCATAAAGCATACTTCCACACCAGGCGTTCAAATCTGGATACAGTTTCGGACTAATCCATTTCCATGTTCTTTCTGGCGTTAGATCTAGAAAGATATCTAAGAGTTTCGCTCGCACATTCTCCCACTTTAAATCTTCCGATTCTGGTTGTTCACAACTTAACTCTAACAAAGACGATATTAGCAGAATGATCTTATTTGAAATTTGCCTTAACCGATCCAGGTACATAGACTTTGGGTTATACAATATAGTTTTCAGCCGGTCTATAGATGAACTAGTTGCCCAACTAGGACAAGACTGTGCTATACGCTCCCATACTTGGAATTGCCCATCATCCTCTGTATATCTCAGAGTTTGCAAAACTCCCTTCATGTCATTCCCAGATAGTGCTAACTTCCCAGTCAACTCCTGGTTTTTCTCTCGTAAGGCTTTGTTTTCTTCCTCTAGTTCTTGTATGGTAGGGTCAGTCATAAACTATCGTAGTTTATTCAAAACGCTCTCTATTTAAGCTTTGGAAATTGATCTGTTGACATTCCATATAAACAAACATTAACATGTAAACAATTAGCTATGATACGTCATTTTGATATGAAAGATAATTTGTTCTTGAGAATCAACATGTCTTTATTAGAAGATAAACTTATCGGCTAAGGCTTTCATGTGACACTGTATGGTCTATGGCCTTATCTTAACGTCTATTGATGAGTTAGACAAACTCTATGGGTTAGTATTTGATATGATTCGAATTATCGACTAACCCGACAATAACCTAATACTAATACGATCGGACAATGAATAAACGATTTGGTGAGAGGAAGGAGTAGTGGTTGTGTAATGGCACTACACTTATCTTCACTTACCAACTCAATACTAATACCTTATCTTATCAACTTGTCCTAACCAAACCAAACACAACCCACTATAAGCCTAATTCAAACTGATTAGCCGCCCACCTTTGAATAGGGTTATCCTATAGACTTTCTTGGTCACGTTAAAGAACCATGTCCACTTCGCCGACACCCGACTTACTTTAGACACAAAAACGATCTCTCTCTTCCTTATCTTAATTGGAACATCTTTTAGTAAGTACTGCAGCTCTATTAAACTCTTTTCGAGTTTGATTGAATTGCGATCAAATAAGTCATCTGCCATTTCAACTATCAATCGGGGAGCCTCGACAATCCGCAAGAGAATAAGAAACAATTTGACTATCATTTGGCCGCGGCATTGGCCTAGAAACTTAATGTTCACAGGAATGCGGGAGTTGATCTTGTTTAGCAAACTAAGCTGTTCAATGTACTCCTGGCAACGAGATGCGGGTATCTCATCTGTTGTATAGAGTACAAGATACCTTAGATCTTTAGCGGGCTTGGAAAGTGCTTCCTCATCTAAATAAAGGTCCCACTTAGATAGATTAGAGTCATATGCCCATTCATGGTCTTCGTGCTTCTTAATCATGTGGATTTCCTGCAGACACTTAACTAGTGGAGTATCTGGTGTTGTTGGGTTGGGTGGCAGTGTTTGGGTTAGCTTAGTATTGGGTGATGGCTGAGAACTCACTTCTTCTTCCTTCTCTCTACTCTGCTTCTTCTGTTTGCCATCCAGAGTTGTTATAGGCTCTGTTTGGGTGTCTTGACCTACTTTAGTTGGTTTAGTTGGGTTAGTCGGTTTAGCCAGATTATCTGGAATAGCATCACTTGGCTTGCGAATTAAGCGCGCATAAACCCAATCGTACACTCCGTATGTCTTAAGCAGCCAACATACTAAAACAACAACTAGCCAGACAACAACCCACTTAAGCCAAGACAGCTTTTTCGGCCACAATCCCACCATCGTACCTTTTCTTATCTCAAACTCTACTTAAGTTGCAATCCCAACACTGTCTATTGATCAGTTTGACCATCTGCCGCCTTAATACTTGGTTAGTATTATTGGGTAGTGCATTGCTTCCCTTTTCCTTTCCTTTTCCATATCATCTTATCCATCGCCCTATCCATTACTCTATCTACTGTTCTATCCACCACCCTATCCACCAATCTATCTATCACATCATTTGTCAAACTTTCTACCACTCTATCTACTGCTCTATCCACTCCTCTATCCACTAATCTATCTATCATATCATCTGTCAGATTTTCTGCCAGTTTATTTAGTGTTTTATCTACCAGACTATCTATTATATATCCTCCTGCCGGCCTTCTTCGCTCTGGGTTGCTACACCAATATCCCAGCCCGCCAAATACTATCATCGCACAGATCACAATGAAAACAAAGCGCCGTAGCTTTAATCCCAGTACAACGCATTTTGAAGATATGAACATACAGATTTGCGATCTTAAAGTTTTACTTTTATACTCCTATCAATGTGATTTTTATCAAGCCAATCATATTCTATTTCAGTCAAACACTAATCCAATACTAACCCAAACACCAGCACAAATACTAAACTCAACTTAACTTATACTAACCCAATACTAACCTTCTTAATAGTAAAGTTCTTCCTTAATACTCCCCCGCGTCAAGTAGCGAGCCAATCGGGGTAGGATATGGTTTCTCAACTGGTAATAGCCCACATTTCATAACCCCAATCCAAATTTATATTTCCTAATGCCTATCTCGCAGCCCTACTAACTTCGATATCAGCCTACTCGCTAATTTACTTCTCCCCTTCACTTCCTAACTTGCATCCACCATCTCAACTTAGTCCATTTACTAACTCTTCTTTATAGCCCTTTTTCACACCACTACTTAAGTTTAGTTTAGTTGAGTTGAGTTGAGTTGAGTTGAGTCACCAGAACTGGAATATACCACTCCATCTCCGCACCTAAAACTCACTAACAACACGCCCCCTTTTCTCTCATAACCCAACCCAATACTAACACAATACTAACACAATACTGCTAATTTCGCAATTTTAACAACTTTTTATTTTAATAACTTTGATTTGTTTGATTGAACCCCTGCCAGCTTTACTTACATGATTTCATCCTCACTCAACTTGTGTCAATTTACTCAGGCCATTCACTCAACCCAATACCAACTCAACCCAATACTAACTCAATCCATTTCACTGCACATCAACCCACTTAAACCTACTTAAACTTAACAGGATACCTTCTTAAGGTCTAAGTTTCTGTACGCGTGGATGATTAACCCAAATTCACCCCAATAGTTGGTGGGACCTGGCGTATGTATGTGTAAAATAGTCTTTCGGCCACTTATGTCATCTGGGAGATTCTCGAGTAGGTAATCTATGCCAGCTAGCATCTGCCTGGCCTGATGGCTTTCGTCTAACTGAAGATGGCCGTACAAATCTACTTCTACTCGAGGCATGCTTAGGATGCGCAGCAGCAGAAGAAGCAACTTAAAAGATGCCTGACCATACTCCAACTGTAGGCCCAGAACAGCTACGGGCGCCTGGCCTGTGATCCTTTGTAGGGGAGTCAACTCCTCGAAACATCTGTTGTACTCGGTTTCTTTCCACGACTTAGGAATAATAATGGGTTGGGTTCGGTTGTATTGAATTGGTTTACGTGCTGGTTCATTACTTAGTGCCATTTTCTCTGGATTAAGCATAAGAATCCACTGGAGAGTATTGTCTTGGGTTTGGTGGGGCAACCAGGTGTGGTCAACTGGGTCATTAATCATCTGTAGGAGCTGCAGTTGCGCGACTATTGGCTTGACTTCAGGTGGTAATGTTCTGAATACAGGCGATACTCGTACAGGCGTTATTGGATTAGATGGTGTAGTTAGTGGTGTAAGTGGTGGTGTGGGTGCTATTGGAGTTGGTGGTGTAAGTGGTGGTGTAGGCAGTACGGGTGCTATTGGATTAGATGGTGTAGTTAGTGGTGTTAGTGGTGGTGTGGGTGCTATTGGATTAGATGGTGTAGGTGCTATTGGAGTTAGTGGTGTAAGTGGTGGTGTGGGTGGATTGTTCTCTTCTACTTGAATTGCGGAATCTACTCGGTCTACTTCCATGCGCCCACTCACCTGGCCTATTGGGTTAGGGAGAGAAGACTCTGGCTGTTCTGCATCACTACAGGTCACTTTCATATTCAGCTGCCACAAACAATACACTGCAGATGCTAACCCAAGACTAACTAACAGAGCACCAACCCAAAGATAAGATCTCTTAACACGTATTGCTTTTAAGAACCTGAACATGCGAATTTTCTATCTCTTCTATCCTTTTAATTTGTTATCTCACTGTTCCTTGATCATTTTGATCTTTTCAAACTCAAACCCAACCCAATCTGACTATCTCACTCTTCTCTCCCACAAACCATCCTAACTCAACCCAAACCCACCTTAACACTACACACATAACCCAATACCAATACTAACCCAATACAATACCAATACAATACCAATACAATACCAACTCATATTTCTTATCTCTAAATCCTCTTAAATATCAAAAGCAATATTCACTACACCAACACAATACCACCTCAAACTAAAATAAAACCCAATGCTAATACAATTCGGAACACTAGTTAGTATTTTTCATATTTCAAATTACTCAAGTTGTTACTTAGATCACTTTAACTTGGTATACCAAATATCATCATAATACCAAACCAAACCAAACCATCATAATACCATCATAATATAATCTTGGTCTTTCAAGAGATTTAATTGCATTAGGCTCACTTTATTGATTAGAGATAAGTTTGTGGGTGTCTTTGCTGATCTTGTTCGGTTTGGAGGGCTAAACAGAGAGCCAATGAAATAAAACAGATACTCGTCTGGTTATTGGGTTAGCACTGAGTTGCTGATAAGATGTTAGATTGTAAAGTCTGTGCGGCCTTTTAGTTCTTTATGCAGAGTTAGCGTTTAATTAGGTTAGATTTAGTTGGGTTAGATTGAATTGATACAGACATGGGAGTTAGTATTGAGTGGATTGTTATTGATTGGGGTTAGTAGTGATTGGGTTGGTATTTGGATTGGTGTCCAAACACCCTAACCAGTTCACCTGAATAGGATAGTGCGGTTTGGTTAAATTAATGAATGCCGCCCAAAGCTCGCGTTGGGTTAGTGCCCAATGCAGCTGAAGCATAATAGGTCGGGTTAGCATTGAGGTTGGAATGTCTTCTAGTAGGTACGCAAGTCTGTCCACTGTGTTTGGAGGAGGCGGTGCAAGGTCTATGTCAATCCAGTTTATTTCGATGCTTGGGACGTTCATAATCCGCAGTAGAAACAATAGCAACTCAAGTAAATCGAGCGTTTCATTCTTAATTGCGGTTCCGGAAATATACATCGGGTTCGGGCCAACGATCTTTTGTAGCGGCTTTAAGTCCTCTAAACACTGCTTGTAGCTGGTATATCCTGGCAAAGAAGGACACGTTCTCAGAGCACAGATGTCTTTGTTAAACCCTTGGTTTGACCAAAACGTCTTCGGACCCAACCTAAGAATCCAGCCTGTGGAGTTGTCTAGGCTGTGGCACTCTGTCAAGATTGGGTCTAGATTCTGGGTGGTCATTGTTAGGATTTCGAGCCAGGTGGCTAGTCTTTCCTCTATTACAGTAACACTGCGATGTGTGCTACTAACACAAAGCACGTCCAGATCAACCACATCTGCCAAGCTAGGCTTTGAATTATCATCCATGCTACACAAGTACGGCTCGTTTCTGAGCAAAACACAACAGCACCACATCCAAACATGCGTTAAGCCTACTGCCCCTATCATTCTTTTTCTTATCTATTGGGTTAAATTTCAAAAGCAACCATCACAATGATTTGGTTGATATTGAGTTGGATTGAATTGAGTTGGGTTGAATTGAGTTAGTATTTACTTATCAAGCACCACACCAATACTAACTCAACTTCTCTCTCAATTTGATAAGAGCAACTTATGCTATTTCAACACCTAAATCAAAACAGATTAGAAATATATATTTCTCTCAGAACCCAATACTCAACTAAACTTAACTTAACTAAACCCAACCCAACTCAACATAATCTTCTCTAAATCTAAAACATCAAGAACTAAACCTTTATTAGGTTGAGTCATTGGTGTCTGACTCCTCCAGCGCAGATTCCACAAACACCAAATCAATAGTGTGGTCTTTTTCGAACAACACACGGAAATCGTTCCAAACCGCAGTATTACCCGGGCGAGTTATAACCTTAAAAACAAGCTTTCGCCCCATCATCACCTCGGCGATACTATTCAGTAAAGATATAAGCCTATTCTTTGATTCCGTACTAAACCGGGTCATACTATCGTCCGTCCAGTTTATGTCGACTTCAGAAGCATCCATAACCCGCAATAGAAACAATAACAGCTCAAGTTGGTCAAGTATCTCAGTGCCATTTGACTCTCCGCTGATCACTAACTTAAGTGGGCAAATGATCTTTTTCAGTGGCTTTAAGTCCTCTAGATACTGCTTGTAGCTTATCTGCTTTGTGCCGGCGTTCGTGCCATCTGAGCCAAGAGTTGAGGGGATAAAACAAAAGTCATATTCCAGTCCTACTGTCTGTGGGAATTGTAGATTGGCACCTGAGGATGCCTTGTTTCTTATTTCCGCCACTTCATGTGCTGTTGTTATTACATTCTGTCTTTCTAGCTTCTCGAGTCGACCTTCTAGCTGAACTAACTTAAGTTCCCAAGTTGGGGAGTTGTTTGGGTTGGTATGTTCTATCCATTCGACTTTTTTAAAGAGCTTGATTAGGCCCAATGCTTCCAAACAAGAAAGTATCCTGTCCCGCATTGGGTTAGTATTGGGTGCTGCGTCGGTTGGATCATCTGAAGTGGCTGTATAGGTTGAACTAGACATAGTCAGATCTTGCTCTGGACTTAGCTGGCCATTAGCTGTTAGGCAAGGTAAACCAGTAGATGCATTGGAGACTTCCTGATCCATTGTTGCGCTTAAGTTTGGGCTGCCAATCGCACTACCCAATACTAGACCAAACCACACCATAACACAACATAACCACACTAATAATAACTTCAAACTCATTCCTAACATCCTTTTTTCTTATCTCTAAATTTTATTAAATTTCAAAAGCAACCATCACTAACCCAATAATCCACCCCCATAGACCCAGAACAATAAAACTTACAATCAAGTTGGTACTAACCCATTACTCAATGAACTAACTCAATCTAACTCAACCCAACCCAATACTAAACCCAATAAGTGCTTTTGAATGTGTGGTTCATTAATCGCTTACATCTTATATGACAGATATATTAGCTATGCAGCCGCAGTTGCCAATAAATTTGAACTAGAATACGAATCAGATAAGCTTTTGTCCGAATGTTACATCGGCCAGCATTGTTTGGGCTTTCTTCTCTTCAGTATCTCTTCCACTCTCTTTTTGAACCATGGCGAGAAGGCGTTCTGCAGCAATTTTGAGTGGAAGGTAGGGTAGATCTGCCTTACATTCTCTGGAGTCAGTACTTCCATTCCCGAAAAGGAAAGCACAGTGCTATCCTCCTCTAACCCAGGGAAGGCCTGTGAGTCCTTCTCCACGGGAATATCAACCTCCTCCATGGCTTCTACCCACGGGGTGTTCAGAACATTGGTGTAGAAGCTCCGTTTATGCGAAAGACACTCGTACACAGGAACTCGCTTGGATGACAGCACCTGTGTAAGAGACATGTCACCAGTGCAACCTGCAACCAGCTCGCTTTTTAGTAAGAAGTATTCGAAAGCTTCGGGTGAGAGATTCTCGTACGACACCAGCCGAAATGTTCTGTTGATGCTTGCAAGATTAATTTGCTGTACTCCGTCTTCTCCCAATGTGATGCCGGCGTCTTTGATAATCTTTTGGAGCATATCCTTGCGTGCTGCCTCGTCTGCTTCTGTTTTCAGTGACTGTTGGCTTTTCTGAGACAAGAGGCGGTGCTTCCAAATACTTTCCTCCTTAAGTTTGGCCTCCTTGTAAAGATCAAGCTGGTTCACCAGGAATGTGATGGGAGTGTTTGGGTCTTGATTATTCAGGCCCTGGAGCTTGGCAGTCCGGGTCAAGAACCGACTGAGCATTATAAGCAGACCATCGAAAGTGTTTTTCTTGGTAAACAAGTTGTAATAGACAAAATTGTACGGCACACCTACACCTATCTTCTTCTCCAACTGTTTCACATATTCTAAGTTGAACTTCTTTTTGGCCTCTTCTCCCAGCCTGTTGTAGAATTCGTCGGCACTTACATCTAGGCGCATACAGTCTGCCTCAGAAACAGCTAACCCGTACTTCTCTTTGTAGTCCAGAAAGAAGATCCGGTTTTCTTCACGAATATCCTTCCCAAGCAGATCCCCATACTCTTCTACCAGAATGAATCTTTTCTCCACAGGATGGGTGAATTTCTCCACCATGGTCAGATATTCCCAACACATGTGGAATAGGACAGTACAGTTGAACTTTTCCCCAAGGGCCGCAATCTCTTTCAACTCCAGAGAGCTATACGTGGGCTTATCCATATTCCTATACACATATACTCCTGCATATCCCGGCTCTACTTTGTCCAGGTCGTAAATGATCTTTGGCGCGCTGCCCATATCACTTCTTTGATTTAAATTCTCAATGGCCCCATCAGTAGTTCTTCCCACGAATAGATAGGTTGGTTTTATACCTGCAACTTTCTCTAACTCCTTCCCGATGTTGGCTGCCCAGTTAATGTCACCCAATCCTCCCTCTATTCTGGAAAGCACGAGGGCAGTTCGGGTCTTGGATGAACGAATGGTTTTGGATGAAGTCTGCCCGGCCGCCACCATTGACACTATTCCCACCCACATTAGTATGATGGCTGTTATTGCTAATCTCTTAATATTTCTGCTCATCTAGGGGTATTTTCCCCCGATTAAATTAATGATGGCTTCGAGCGGCGCATCGAATTGGCTCGTGGTTAGAGAGTGTGCCAATAAAAGATTAGGCCGGTATTGTTTGTGGGCGCTAGTTGTGAAAACACGCGAGATTTGAAATAAGACATCGGTTGAGGCCTAAAGTTACAGTGTTGTGGCAAAAAGGCACTAACAAGAATCAAATTGATGTTAGCCTAGTATGATTGTGAACGATGCTTAGAATATTTCTATATTTAGCTTTTGAGATGGATTGGATGCCAAGAACAGCACTAACTATGAAAGAGATTACAGAACTAACTCAGTACATAAAAGGCGAGTACACTAAACCCAGTAATCTATCTTCTCTCCAATGGCACCGATTCCAAAGGAAAGCCAAGGATTTTCTAGTCCACAACAACACGTTGTACTACAAGAACAGTAAGCAGAACATGAAGTTGCTAGAGGTAATTGGTAATGACGACAGCGCGAAGCTAGAGAGAATAGCCCAAACAACACACACAGAAAATGACCATATGAAGGTAGAAAATCTGTACCAAAAGCTCCGATGCCATTATACGGGCTTCCGCCGCCAAACCATTCGAGCAATAAACCTAGATTGCCCTACATGCAAACCACTCCCGGCGCCACAGAAAGTCATTCCTATACATTATGTTGAGTGCCAGACCCCGCGAATCTATCTGCAGATTGGATGTATTGATATGCACCAGTATGTAGAGGAAAACGATAAACATGCATGGATTTTGGTAGTTTTTGATGTTTGTTCTAAGTTTTTGATAGCAGAGCCAATGATAAGAAAAACCGGCAAAGCGGTTGCCAAAAAACTAAACCATATATTTGCCCTGACTACTCGTCCATGGATAATACAATATGACAATAGCGAAGGGGTTGTCAATGATGAAGTTATAGATCTTATGGAGCGTTTAAGGATTGAATACAGGCCCAGCCAATCTCATCTACGCAATATGAGCCAAGTGAAGCAAGCCGCCCAAAACCTAACTCAGAGCCTGTTTAAGCATGCGCCAAGGGATAACCCCACTCGCTGGATTGATGTGTTAGATAGCGCCCTTGATGACCACAATCGGCGCTGGCACCGAGCTATTAACAATGTGCCGGTTGACGTATGCTACGGCTGGTCGATAACTGGCCCTCGCCCGCTCTTGCCCAAGGAATGCCAAGCGGCCTATGACCAAGAAGTAAACTGGATGCTTCGTTGTGAACTAGAGAGGGATTCGCTCGTTGGCCCAGAGTTAGATTGGAGTTGTCCTATAGAGTGCCTAGACCCAGCGACTGCCCGGCCGAAAACAACCCCAGTAGAACAGCAGATAGATGCCAAACAGCGACAGAAGCATTCAAGTATGATGGGGCAACACAGTACCAACTCATTGGGTTAGTATTTGGGTTAGGTTGTGTTGGGTTAAGTTAGGTTGAGTTGAGTTGGCTTGGTTAGTGTAGAACCCCATGATGAAGTTGTCGTGCAAAAGCAGACCCAACCAATTTGAAGAACAATCAGCTAGGTATTAGTAAGTTAATTAAAATGCTTACTAAAAGGTAGTCAGGTTAGTATTGCTGTATAACATAAATCTCACAAATTGGTTCGTATCAAAACATGAAGGTAGTTGGTCATACTGAACAAGATCTTATTTGTCTTTGATGATAACATCAGGAGATCATAAAGTATAGATAACGATGAAATAAATACATTGTAATTTCATGGTCTGGCCAAGACAAGTGATATTAATTAGTTGAAATAAAGCTAACCAACTAGTTCTTAGCCCAGCTAGCACCACATTTATTTATGGGGTAGATGTTTCTTTCCAGTTAGGCACGCTGGCAGATTCAAGAATGAGTTAGGAAAACCATGTTAAAATTGAGTCGATCGGCTTGGGGTCTTTTATACCTTCAGCTAACAAGTTCTGATTGCTGTTCGCCCAAATAGAAAATCCAACTGCTATAACCAGCCCAACAAACATGCAGATTAATTTGATTTTGGCCAGCCTTGCGCCGTGGTTATTTTGGGCTGGGCCTGTCATTGAATCCTTGCGGAACCGAAGACCAAAGATATCAATAAGGGATCCAAGACCAAAAAGCATAGCCGACACCACTAAAATATGAGAACTTAGCAGTATATGGGCAGCCGATGGTAGCTTAAAGATAACGAGGCCTGGCACAAGAATGGCCAATAGGAACGAAAACACGTAAAGAGCCCAGCTGAGACATTGCGTAATTCTTGGTAGGCGTCGCTTGTACAGTCCTTGGATGATAAGGAAACCCAAAGTGACGACTGCTGCTAATGCGAAGGTAACACCCAGCACAGTAACCTTGAATAAAACCAACCCATCGGTCTCGTGGTAGCCAGTTAGCTGGTGATTGTTGAGGGCGAAGAGGGCCGTGGTCGCCAAAATCAAAAGCAGAGTAAAGACAATGCCAAGCCAATATTCCCATGCACGCATTGGTTTGAAAGATGCATGTGCTGGTTTGTTCAAGAAGAGAAGTAGAAGAGAACTCACTAGCCCGCAGACTAATATGCTGATGGGGAGTATCCAAACAGCCATATCGTGTGTTGCCAATAGAATGCCGAGCAAGGCCGCTAGAAACTGAACAGATGCCAGAGACACTCCAACTGAAAGAGTAGTAATTATGGGACTGGTTAACAATCTGTCTAAAATTGACTCTCCCCTATTATCGCTCCCTTCTTCTGACTTTTGCTGGTCTTTGCGTGCTTTTGACTTCTTACTGCCCTTTTTAGAACACTGGTACTTTCTTAGCACATTCATGAGGTCTTTACGCTTCACGTCATTAACCTTTATAGTATCTGTGTTTGCCGGGGCGTGCCTCAGAGCCACGGCACTCTCAAAGGTAAAACGGGCAACTGGATGTATCCGGTTAGTTTGATGCTTAAAAGCCTCCTTATCGGTGTTTCTGCACACATTGAATTCCCTGGGTTCGTCGCTGTAAGTATAGTTAAAGCCCTCAAGATAAATAGCTGTGTTGAGCGGATGGATGTAATCTATTAAAGGTGTGCTGTTCAGGAGACTGTGTATCTGATGGTTGTGAGTAAGGGTAGACTTTGGCCCGGACCTGAAATTCTTACTTTCATCTTTCTCTCCTTTAGTGCTGTCACTGTCTATCTCACCAGTCAGTTGGGCATATCGCTCTTTGTCCAAAAAAGCCAGTTCGAGTTCATCGATATCCGCTGGAGTGGTTACATAGCTGTGTATGTGCCACGCCAAGTTTTGAACAAAGAGGTTGTGCTGCTCCGGGATGCAGGCTTTCTCGCTATAACAAGAGCCTGTCGATTGGTTTAAAACAGCATATAGTAGAACAATATCCATTAGATCGTCTGGACAGATGGTGTGGGTAATTATACCGGTGGGATCGGACTTGAATAGAATGTTTAGCCGCGCAGCTGCTTTTTTAACTCTGTCTAAATCCTTGATCTCAAAGCCCAGCTGTTTGTAAAACTCCGAGGTTAGAAACTTCTCATCTTTTGCCTTATTAAACTTTCGATTGCCTTTATGTTGCTGCTGTGTTTCTTTGGCCCAAATAAAACCGTGGTCGACTAGATTATCTAAGGATGGTGTATATTTTGCTAGATATTCATATTCGCTCTCTGAAATAACTCGGGGGACGTTTAAAATGAACAGGCACAGCCCAATCACCCAACTTACTCCAAAAACGGCTCTGTTTCTTCGTTTAAGCATTTTTTGATGCAAAACCTAATTTGGAAATACGCCCAAAATTACCATATTAGGAAATGGCGGAGTTTATTTTTAAAATTACCATATTAGGAAATTGGATTGTTAGTTGAGTTAGTGCTTATTTTGGTATTCGTTTGTGTTGAGTTGGGTTGAGTTGAGTTGAGTTGAGTTGGTATTTGGTTGGTATTGCCGTGTTGTTAGATTGTCTTGAATAAGATTACAGAATCTATTTAAGAATTATCATAAATAGCTAAGGAAAAATCAAAATACAACCATTCCTAGATGGAAAATAAAAGAGAAGGGTTTATTCTTTGAATTTTAACTAAATCACATTAGTATTGGGTTAGTAGTTGGTTTAGTTTAGTACTTAATTTGGTACTTAATTTAGTACTTAGTTTGGCTAGCAGTATGATAGTGCTTACTGTTATTGGATCGGAAAACAATTAGTTCATTTCATTCTAATCAATAAACTCAACTTGATACAAACATAAAGTAGCGAAGAGCCTACTATAAATGAACTACGGATTGATTTATTGATCTACTACTTATTTTGGTAGTACAATATCAACTAGTCTAACCCAAGACTAACTCAGTAACTGTGGGATAGGGATTTAAGGATGGCTTTAAATTGGGCAACAAGTGGACTACAGGTGGTAATTAGGCCATGCTGGACAGTGCAGAGGGAGAATGACTCGAGTGTGAGTGGTTGGTCCGTGGGACTGGTCTTAACAATAAAGATACAGTCAGCAAGGCTAATTTCCTTGAAGTTTCGGCAAATGCCACAGGGTTGTATTGGGTTGGTTGAGTTAGATGATGTAGATGCAGTAGATGGAGTAGAGAGTTCAGGTGGTGAAATATCATCTAAACCGTCGCGGGGCATATTTTCGGACTCGGTGGGAGTTACTATGTCTTGGGGAGATTGCACAGCGTCGAAACACATGGTGCAGATGAAGTGGCCACAAGATAAGATATAAACTATCTGATGAGTGGGATGGCACGGTTTTTGCTCTTTCTCGCACTCCAAACAGTCTGAAAGAAGGGCTTCTTCGTTTGGACAATCTTGCTGATTGCATTTGATGCCGTCATCATTGCGTCTCTGCACAAACATCTCTAGCGCGGGTAGATTAAAGAACGTGAAGGGAGGTACTGGGTATGCGCCAGTCGAGTTAGTCTTATTATTGAACACAGACATGCTTTGGTGGTGAGTAGCAGTCTTTAGCTGGTTAAAAACATGCCGATTAATAACAAACATTCTGGCGGGGGGCAGATCTTGCAAATGGGCATTATAGATCGATGGCGCGGTTATTTTGCGAACAAAAGCAATATTAAGAGCAATATCACACTCCTCCAGACAATCGTGGGGCATAGAGGCGAAGTTCAAGTCCAGGGCTTGCAGGGAAAGCGATTGGGAGTTGATTTGGAAAAGAACATGCTGTATGTTGTTTTTGAAGTCCTCCGTGATCAACGGCCTATAAATAATAAGGTGTCTTACTTGCGGGAAGTACAGTTGCATCCACTGTAGAGCGATTTTGATATGGGCATCAGCCAACAGAATACCGGGAGTGTTGGTTTCACAAACTAGGCTTAGGCGCCCGACCTTAAAGCATGAATAGGGAGAGGCGGTATATTGTCGTCTTCTCTTTTCTGTCACAATACTTCTCAACCGTTGGAAGAGCACGTTAGTGATAGAAAGCTCGTCTATTTGGGAAGAAAACGGGCTATCAAGCCAGATGTCATACCGCAACATCCATTCTGTCCAGCAACCCCAGTTCATCTGGCAGACAATAGTAATCCCTAACTCTTTCATTTGGGCTAGGATGGGCGGAGGCCGGGCCATGAGCAGCATGTCTTGGTTTAGAATAGCTCGAACTTCACCATATCGTAGGCTATGGGCCATAAAGGGCTCTAAGGCATGAGCAGGTGCCTCGCCCAGCCACGGATATTCCTCTATTTCGATGACGGGGATGGCGCCGTGGCGGGCTAATTGCTGATTTATATAGCTTAGCAAGCAATTTACATCATCAGGGGAGATTTTCCGAAGTTTGATGCGCCGGCAGTTTATTTGGTAAATTTCGTACAGAAAGCTGATGGCTAGAGAAGACAGGTTGTTTAGGACCAAAGTGTTAACCGTTATTTGGTAGAAGACCCGACAGGACAATCGGGATATATATAGATGGCGTGCCACCTCGGCTGTGCCACAGTATGTGATATTACAAATCTCTAGTTGGTATCCCGAAATAGAACCGACAACGAACAGTGTTCTTTGAAATAGGTCAAACTCGCTTAAGTCTTTACAATCATCGTGTTGGATGGTGAGCATGTGGTAATGCAAAGAGGAACAGATAGAGTTGGCCGATAAATTGATAAAATACTCGATCGCATTCATCGCCATAGGCATATGAAGTGCGATAGTAGCGCGTGTAATATAGAAGATGGTCTGGGATCCCTTTGGGTATTTGCGCAATACATGGTTCCCGTGTTCTAGTGGTCGCCATTCGTTTAGTGTCCGAGCAGAAGATTTGATATGGGAAGCACAATCATCATCCTCCCAGTTCGATGCACTAGGCTGGATATAGGTAAGGACATGGGTGTGGAATTCAACACCGTGCTGAAAGAAGATGTCTGGCATGTTGTCGATACTGGCTATGCCGGCCAAGAAACAGGGGGCAGTTCGTTGTATTTCGATAGAAAGTGTATTGCAATGAATCCAAATGGGGATAGCGGGCTTGCTAATCTCCTTGGGCGGTTCTAACCCGATAATAACTCGAACAAGTAGGCGGTCAATCCTAATCAAGCCAACTAATCCTACCTGGCTGCACCGAAGAAAGAGCTGCAGATCAATAGCGAGCATAGTACAGGGAGTCGGCTGGTCACTGGCCATGGACTGGCCCCCAGTAATCTCCTCCACTGTGATCTGCTTTAGAGACACCGCGGTGCGGTTTAAAAGACTCTGCAAGCTGGCCAGATTCAAAGAGTCAAGTGAAAGGGAATGAAGAGATAAAAGCGAGGTGGATGCCCAATTGACGTGTTCAAAGCAGGAGAGGGATAGTGCTTGATTTACAACATGGGTGACGTATAGAGACTGGATTGGGGTTTCTAAAGCAATATAATTCAGAAATTGCTCAAGATCGGGTGGAGCAGCCCCTGTAATTTCTAAACGGGTTAGCACTAGGGTGGATATATTGCTGTTCAACTGAGGTAATTCAGGCCGTTCTAAGCTTGGCGGAGCTAGTTGGCAATTAAACTTAGCGCTCTCAATAATCATGGCGGTTTCGGGCCCAGAAGACCTGACCTTTCCCATTAGTTTTAGCATGTATTCATCGGCCGAGGTGAATACTATTTGGTTAATGTGGAATGTGCCATTGTAGATGGCTTCCAGTCTGTCTAAACTTGGTGGCAGTATTGGTTGAGTACTTGCCAGGTCTTTCATTATAAGGCGGTTTTTATGCATATTTAGAGAGTAGACGGGCGTGCTCCCCTTGAGGCATGGTTCTATCAGCTGCAGGAACATCTCTGGCAGGCTTGTTTTGTGGTCCTCTATCACATACGTGAAGGACTGGCCCAGTGCCGTTGCTATTTCTCTCGACTCGGCCTTAATTTGGGCATCAAGCCAGAAGTAGTTTGTTTTCTGGGCTAGCAGTCCCATCCAACTCCAAAGATAAGACATATGCATAGCTATCTGTCCTATCTGCACCATTATTATTAAAAAACTATTGGGTTAGTATGTCGCTAGCATTGATCTTATCTACACATTGCAGTACCCATGAGTTGGGCAACATCCCTTAGCTAACCCAATACTACTCCATTAAAGAATTCCATGAGAAGGGTGGTGCTTTTTATTAAGTAAGTATGGACTGACTGAGAGGTGACGTCATATTAAGTTAGTAGTCGTAGCACTAAGTAGCAAGTACTAAGTAGTGATCAAGTCGATCGTGTGGAAAATGAGTAATGGCCGTATAACAGCACCACACATATCTTCTAAAAGCAACTAGTTTAGAGCTGTTTTATTGTTGTTGTCCATCAGCACCCAAATCTATACTTATTGGGCCAACTTGTTATCCACATTTTTATCTAATTTACCATCCCCTTCTTTATCTAATTTACCGCTCACATTTTTATCTAATTCACCATTCACTTCTTTATCTAAATTGCCGTCTGCGTTTTCTTCTAGGCTATTGGCCGGACTACCCGACGAGCTGCTATCTAATGAATTGTTGGGTGTTTCATTTAACGTCTTCTCAAGCTTCGCATCGAGTTTGATATCTTCCCGGTCTTCTTTAGCGGTGAGTACGGACAAGGGCGGGCGCCACCACAACATACAGAAGAGACCACTAATCACAATAAACAGAAGAACGATAATGTGATACTGAGCAGCAATGTACCGAATGTACCTTCTGGGCCTAGAGATTCTTGGGGGGTCTTTTTCATGCACAACCGAGCCATCCAGCACTATCTTGGCCTTCTGGGCTTTCTCAGCCTCGATAAAATACTCCAAGCCCTCAGCAATACAGGTGTACTCGGGCGACACCACGATCTTGATTGAAATAAACTCATATGGCTGGTTTACAATGGGAAGCAAATTCAGGACAGTGTTTTGGTCGCCTACATAGACTGATATTTCGCGCTTTGGGGCTAGACTGATGCTGTCCAATGCCCCAAAAACACAATCTTGGTAGTTTTTGATTACGAGATGAGTAACCATTTTATTCTTCAACGCTTCCATAACCACCTCCAATCCAAACTTGTTGCATGATTCTAAGCAAAGCTCGTTTAGAGGTTGAACTGGAGTGTCCTTCAGAGCTAGCTGTGTCTCACTTAAGTACATACTAAGAGCTAAATACGTGCATACAGTCGCCTTTTGAAGGCTGAGAACCAATCGTTCGGTGGTGACAACACAAAGAAGCCTTATTATGGCCCGGCCATACGCAATGCTATCGCTAATGTGCAAGTTCTCAAGTTTCAGCTCCTGGCACTTTATTTCAGCCATCAAAGTCAGCACATCGCGTTGAAATTCGTGTTTCTCCCAACTTTCAGTCCAGTCTTTGGTTGTAATAGTATAAGTGTCCACTGCCAGATGGTATCCCTCGGGTTTTTGGGTTAGTCTTTTACAGAAGTTCTCTTGGCTGAACATCAAATCATCTTGTGTGTTTTTGATTTCCATAATTTGATGGAAGAGCTCATATAGCTTCTGTTTGACTTCTTGAGTGAGTGGGAGGCGGGTAGCATCAACTGATGTTGGATTTGCGTTGATACTAGCATCCACAGATCCGCTTGGTGTTGAGGCCAATACACTAGTCATGCCAATCAGCAAAGCCAGAACAAACACCAAATGAGTCTTTCTTCTTAAAAACAGGCCAGCCGTTTGATCGTCTAATAAGATGGGTCTCTGTTGCTTACTCATTTCTCCCAGCAAATAGTCCAATCCATATATCCAACAATTGCACCAATAGTAGAACATAGTCAGCCCCGTTCGATTCAAGCCATTATCTCCGGCAGCCACCAGCTAGTACCACAAGCCAACCCCTTCATCGATAGCAAAGCCAACAAACACTCAACAATCTAATGCCAACATAATAACAACCTTATCTTACCCAACCCAATACTAACCCAACCTAGCATAACTTAAGCTAACTTCTATTTATTCGTTGTAATACCAATATAACCCAACCCAACTCAACTCAACTCAACCCAACCCAACACTAACTTAACTCAAACCTAACCCAAACGCTTCCGAGAATTGGCGATGAAGTGCTGTGGTTGGCAAAGCAGTAAAAGTCAGAATCAGGCCTGAGATAAAAACAATCCCCAACAGCATAAGATACCCCAACAATATCATGGATTGCTTGTTTTTTGTTCCAAAAATAGAGTTTGGCCGATGAGACGCCATATCAAATGTCACCCAGGCACAGATCAGCATGGAAATTCCAATTAAAATCGGCCGAATAATGTGCATTTGCGTGTCTAAATACAAGAACACCACAAAAGTTATTCCGGCCAGAAGTATACATGGCAAAGCCTGCGCCGCGAGAATCGCCTTCCAAGTCTCTGCTTTCGAAGAAGCTTTCGAAGAAGCTTTTGAGTCGCTTTGCTGGTGGACTGCACAAACAAGGTAGGCAGATACAATGATCAAAAGAAGCGAAATACCAGCACTAACCCAATCCAACCACGTCGTAGGCACTCCTTGATTAGTTATCCTCGCAAAATAGTAAACGGCTGATATCCACACAATACCAGTAAAGAGATACAGGACTAGATATCCGATCTTGTGCATATGCGGATCTAGGATGCCAAAGATACCATTGGATTTAGGATTAGACGAGGCCGGAAATGGTATAGTTACATCCCCATTAAATTTAGATTGGGTTTGTTGTGGTGGGGGGTGGGACTTTGATAGTAGATCAGGAGTTACATTATATTCCGTATTCGCTGCCGCTTGAAGTCGTCTGGCTTCTGCTTTTGCTGCTGCTTTTGCTGCTGCTTTTGCTGCTGCTTCTGCTTCTGCTTTTTCTGCTGCCGCTTTTGCTGCTGCTTCTGCTTTCTTACGAAGTAATTCGGCCGCCTGCGCCTCCTGTTGTAGTTGCTGCTTAGCTAAGGACTCTATCGTTATAGGCTTGCCACTCGGGTCCTTCATTATTTGCTCGATAGGGGCAAATTGTTTCTTGGTGATTTGGAATTTACTCATCTTCAGATCAATTTTGTCAAGGTCTATTTCAACGCCTCTCAGTTTCTGGACTGTTTGAATTACTTCTATCTCGTGTCTTGCCTGTTTAACGTTGTCCATAATCAAAAGATTGATAGTGTTCTGCAACTCCTCTAGGTTCTCCTCATTATCATTATCATTATCATCAATAGGACGAGACATGTAACGAAGAATAGACATTGCACGTTCAGGACTAGCATACTGGGTGTCAGTAAGGCGAGTCTGGTTATGTTCAGACACACCCGCATCTGCCTTAGAATTCATGCACGAGATTGAGACAAGTGCATCCCAATTTTTATCGATAGCCTTAAGAATAGCCATATAAGCAGCAATGTTTGACTCTTCGAAATGTGGCTTAGTCACTTTTGCCTCCTCCATGGTCTTTTTCTTTTCTCCCCACCATTCCAATTGCAAGTCCTTCTGCCTATCGACTATGTCTGAGGGATTTGCTTTACTGCAAAAGATTCTATAGATCTTCTTCAAAATCAAACTTAGCCCCTCCTCTGCCACCAGACATTGAATTTCATCGTCACTGATATCATGTAGAGGTTGGTGCTTTTGATCTTTAAAGTCAGCCTTTCCCTTTTGAATCAGATACTGCAACATAACCTTCTCGGCTTGGGTAGTGATTTGGAATGCTTCAGCACAAGCTTTGACTAATTTCATATAATCAATCTCAACGTTGGTATTAAATTCGGGGAGTTTGATTTGTCTCTTCTCTGGAATGGCGTTGTAGTTCTTGGCCCTTCTAATGATGTCTGCGGGATTAGCAGTATTAATGCGCCCCCTAAGTCGCCGCAGAATGTTCTGGTATAACTCTTTGTTCTCTAGGTGGGCAGCAGCGTCGGTTTTTATCTCGTCTAATTTGGATTGCGCATTCTCGCGGATTTGATGAGCTGCACCCTTAACTACATCCTTCGCTTTCTTGGCACGCCTCACTGATGAATTAAAGCTAGAACGGGTGAGGTTAGTTGCTGTAGTTCGAGCACTACTCCAAAAGGATTTGCTTTGGGAAGTACTACTTGAGTTCTCGGGGGAGCCACTAGTAGTCGTTGAAGCAGATGAAGATTTAGTTGTGGATCGAAGGCTGCTAGGAGCAACAGTTGACCCACCAGCCTCCGAGGGGACGTTAAAACGCACTACTCTTGTTGGTGCCCTCGAATGCGTGCGCCGCCGGCTAGAAACTATTGACCTAGTACCAGCAGATTCACCTACAGGGTTGCCTTCTTCTTCTTCTTCAGAGTCGGAATAGAAGTTAAGAGGTTCTAATCGCTGTATCTCCAGCTCATCTGCAGCCGTGGAAGCATTCCCCCTAGACATTGCAGGCCTTTTCCTAAGGAACATCGCGGGATTGTTGTTAGCTGAGTCGGGGCTGAATCGAAGGAGGTCTTTTAAAAGCTCAAACTCCTCCTCATTGAAGGTATCTAGGAGGACACTCTGGTCAACATTAGCATGGCCTGGTAGTTGGATCTTGCAAATTGTGGTCCCTGTAAACAAGGAATCGAGCTCCTCTTGAACTTCCGTGTCGGTCGCTTTAAATAGTAGATCGCCTAGAAATTCAAATAATGCATTGTTGTCCTCTCCATATCTTACTCTCACAGCCTTTTTAGTTATGCGTTGAACTGTTCCTTTTGTTTCCACTGGTTTTGCCTTCTTTAGAACATCAATATAAGATAAATTAAGTCGTTGATATTCTGAACCCATCGTTAGATTTTTAGCTAATTTTTCATCAGCTTTCATATATTTTCCTAATTAGGAAATGACCTATAAAAAGTTTGCCGGGTTAGTATTAATTTGATTGGGCTATTAATATGTGCTATGTTGAGCTGGTATTGGTTTAAGATAAGTTGGGTTGAGTTGGTATTGGTTTAGTACAAGTAAGATTTTGGTTGGGTATTGGTTTAGTACAAGTAAGATTTTGGTTGGGTATTGGTTTAGTACAAGTAAGATTTGGATTAGATTTACTAACCCAATAGTAGTATTTCTACCTGCGTATCTATAGATATACTAACCCAATCAGTGACATACCTCGATACGACATACTAACCCATTTATTGAATGTAAACGATGATATGACGTCATACTCAAATTTTTATAATACCTATTGGGTTAGTATTTGATATGATTCAAATTCTCTATTAACCCAACAATAACCCAATATTAATGCGATCGGTCAATAAATAAACGATTTGGTGTGAGTAAGGATTCGTAGTTGTGTAACGGCACTACAATTAAGTTGGTCTTTATTGAATGAGTGTGGTATGGTAGTTGAGTTAGTATTAGGTTGGTATTGGTTATGCCGGGAAATTGATCTATTTGGATGGCTATTATTATTGGTGCGGACAATCCAATTGGCAACTTATCACAATAAACAACTTATCACAATTAAAAACTCACCACCAACCATGCCTAATACTAAACCAATCAGCTAACAACCCAATCAAACACTAACTCAATATATGCCCGCTTTTTTTGCCCATTATGACAGATCAGCCCATGTGCATCGAATATAGCAACTATACACTAGAGGACGCATCCGGATCCACAATTTTCAAAAATATTACCTTGAGTATTCCGTCAAACAAAGTCACTGCTATCTTGGGGCTGGCTGGAAATCCTAAACTTAAGCTGATTGAAACACTAGCTGGATATTGCCGGCCATCTTACAAAAGCTTTGGGCATATTTTTGTGGCCCAAAAAGGAAAAATGGTTGATCGAGATGTCCAAGATTGGTTTCAAAAGACTCAATACATTCGCGAACTCCATCCACCCCGTTCTAACACTACCGCATATGAGCTTCTTCTTGCAGCTGCCAAAGGTCATGAAAAATCACCCAAGGATGTAGAAACTCTTCTTACCATGTTTATGCTGCGGCATATCAAAAAAGTCCCTTTGCGCAAACTAGCCAATCTCGACCAAATAAAAACAGCCGCGGTTATGGGGATTCTTGCTGGAAAAGAGATAACAATCTGGGAAGACTTCTTCACTGGGCTATCTCCAACTGCACTTGCCTTTATTCTTTCTTCCATCAAACATACGAGCAAAACCGTAGTCATATCTCTTCAAAACCCTAAAACCGAGGTTGTGGATATTATCGATCATGTTGTGGTTGTTCACCGACAGACAGTGGTTTACTCGGGGCCCGTTGAGGAAATTGTCCCCTTCTTCGCCCAACATGGCATACCCTTCCCTAAAGACATATCTCCTATTAGGTACCTCTACCAACTATACGTTCCCAAAAACCGAACACCCGAAACTACCAAAGCCATTACTGCCTTTAATCAGCTAGCCCAAAGAATCAGCCAGCAAGATCGAGCTAAGCCAAGTCCGATTCACCAGACTAAACTTCCCCTCTTTCAACCGGTTAGCTTCAAAAAGATCGCCACTATCTTCAAGCACTCCTTCTCCTTCAATCCTTTCTTTAAGGGCAGTTCTATTCTCATCGAGCTTGTTCTGTACGCCACTATCTTTCTCCTGCTTTTCTTCTACTTGCGCAACCAAGCCCCTATCGGCCGCCTACGGGGTCTCGTGTGCAATGAGCCAGCAATTATTCGCGCTCTACAGACCCACCAAATAGACCCACCGGCTGATTTGAAGGCCCTGCTTAAACAATATCCCAACTTTAAATGGCTTGACTGCTACTCGGTCTATTTGGTGGTGTTCACCACCACTGTTTTGCTAGTCGCTTTGATTATGCCAATTAACATGGCCAACCTAGATTTCTATCTACATTGCAAGCGAGCCATTGAAGAGAAACAGTTTGTGGCTCTTGAGTACATATTGGCCCTGCTAACTGAGATTGTACTACGAAAGGTTGTTCTTCCTTTTCTCGCCTTTGGCTTTCTTTATCGGCTATCTAATAGCCAGCTCACATACTTGGCTAAAGTTGACCCCAGTCATAGTTTTGGAGTTAGTCTTCTCTTCGTTTTTACGGTAATTTCCCTATTAATCGGCACCTATTCTCTACTTTTCTTCCTTCTGCCTTTATCCTTCTTTCTACTGCCAATCATCAAAGTTGTATTCTGCTGTTTGTTCTGTATTATCCCCTACAAGCTCTTTATTGCCAAAGGCCCACTAAGTCTTCCAACTATTAATCTTTACACCAATACATTAGGACCCACCTGCCATCAAAGCTTCAATGACGCTCTTTCCTACAAGGGAGTTTTTGAAACGATCACTATCAAGGTTCTTTGGGTCCTCAAATGGATCTTCAAATGCCAGCCCACTATGCTTCCCACCGAGCTCATCTCGAAAATCAGTCTATTCCGCAACTACACGCCCGTCTACAATCCATACCACCTTTTCCTAATAGAGAAATTAGTCATTCTTCTTATTGCGGCCCGCTCCAAGGCCGATAGAGCCGTCTGCCGCGACCGATTGCAAAAGTATCTTCAGAACCCTGCCATTCATATGCAGGCCTATGAACTACTAACTAACACTCCTATAACCAAAGCCACATTCTTAACCATAATCAAAACATTCCTTCTCTTCTTTGGCCCGCCCTGTTTGGTGGTTGGTTTATTATTTCCTTACTTTCATCGCTACATCACCCCCAAGCTTCGCTAAGCTGAAGTTGTGATTAAGTTACGTTTAAGTTTTGTTTAAGTTATGTTCTGGTTAGATTGTATTGGGTTGAGTTGAGTTAGGTTTAAGTTAGGATAATTAAATGATATAGTTTATTGGATTACGTTTAAGTTAGTATTTATTTAGATCAAGTCCAGTTGGTAATAATAAGCGATAATCGTAACAACTACATATTAACTAAATCCTAGCTAAATACCAACTAAATACTAACCCAATACTAACCCAATGAAATGGTCTTTTTTGTTACATGGCTATGTTATTTTTGAAATAGCATGCTGCAATACTTATCATACTCAGCTTGTCCTCGAGATATGGCACTGTTTAAACGACCGATAAATACTTCATTCTCATTAAGATTAAGTAAATCTTGCAAGTAAAAGAGTACAGTTGGACTTTGAGCCAAATTATCAATACTTTTGATTAGTTCTAGAGCATTAATATTTAACGTAGCCAAATTACTATCACGTCCAGATAGGGTCTTGGCCGTTTCAATAATAAATAGCCAAATCTTGAGTGTTTCTGGTTCACGCGAGTCTTTTCCATCCATTGATTGCGCTAGACAATGCCAGTTCTGCACCTCCTTAAGGAATAAATCAGTCTCCCACTCACATTCCTCCACCTGTAAGACCAACTTTAACAACCGTTGTTTTATCTCTCTCATTTTATCCCTTTTAGTCGTTTCATTCATCTGTACCAGCAATCTCTCTTTTAGTTCCATCATTACGAGTCAAAAAACAATTTGGGATACCACTTCTTTATTATCTTACTATCTTATCAACTTAACCCAATACCAACTCAATAAACTATATCATTTAACTATCCTAACTCAACTTAACTCAACCCAACCCAACCCAACCCAACCTAATACTAACTTAACTTACTGCAAAATAGTACTATGACTCTTTTCCGAAATCTTCGTGTCTTCGGGAATGGGGTACAACTCATAGGAGACATTAACAGCCTTGGCTAAACTACCCGTTACTTCACCACACAAACATAAGTAACTCAGTGTTCCTTCACCTTCACCCGCATCTTGCAAATACAAAGCTACAAAGTCCACTGACTTGTACTTATACGATGGCAAATTAACCCGAATAATATGGTCATCACCTGGCAAGCAGTAACTCTCACCCGGCTTAGGCTTACTACTCAAAGTAACATACCGATTATTAGCAAAGACGCAAAGCTGTTTAAAAGAACTCTTTATCTCAATTCGACTTAAAGCAACTTTACTGATAAAAGGAATCTTTACAATCAGTCGCTGCCCATCTTTAGCCACGGCCACCACGCCTCCATTCCTCTCAGCATGGCTCTTTTTAACCACCTCCCGACAACAACCCCGAACTTGCTCATTAATCCCAGTCACACCATTAATATCAATAGAAGCATATAAAGATCGCGCTGGAATTGCATCAGTACAAGCACATTCACCCGAACAACCGCCCATAGCAATTAAAAAATCCCCTCTTTTCAAGTTTCGCCATCTATCTCAACCTCAACCTTTTCCTTTCCCGCCCATCCATTTACTCTCTTTTCCTCCCCCTACCATCCCAACCAAAACCCACCCAATCATAACTCAACCAACCAAAAACTTACCCAACCACTATCTGAAATATTGAAATTACGTCATGTCCCAAAAAGGAAAAACATAAGATTCCTGCTTTAAAAGAATTGCGAAAGAATTTTAACCCAATGTTTCTACTTAAAGATCTTAAAATGGTCCGTATCTTGGGTGAAGGTTCCTTTGGCAAGGTCTTTCTAGTCTCTTTTGAAGGTCTCAGCCAGGTTAATATGAAAAAGCTATATGCTCTAAAAGTCATGAGTAAGGCCCAAATAATTCAGCGCAATCAACTATCCCATATCTATAATGAAAAAGCAGTCATGCTTTCCATGTGCTCTCCTTTCTTTGTGCGACTTTACAGTACTTTCCAGGATGAAAGATACCTCTACATGGTTATGGAGTATGTTCCCGGTGGTGAACTGTTCAACTACATGAAAGATATTGTGAAGTTTAGTATTGCTCAGGCTCGGTTTTACATTGCGGAGATTTTAGTGGCTCTAGATGCTCTTCATGATCTAGGAATTGTTTATCGCGATTTAAAACCAGAGAATGTTCTTTTGGACCATACTGGCCATATTAAGCTGGCCGATTTTGGGTTTTCCAAACGCTTATTTGATCCAGTTACATGGACTCTATGTGGCACTCCAGAGTATTTAGCTCCAGAAATCATCATGAATATCGGCCATGGCTTTGAAGTTGATTTTTGGTCCTTAGGCGTGATTCTTTACGAAATGGTAGTTGGTATTCCTCCTTTCTATCATGAGAACCAAATAGAACTCTGCCGCCAGATTATTCATGGTAAAATCGGATTCCCACCCTATGTTGATGCAGTTACACGCGATCTAATTCGAAAGTTACTCACTACCGATCGCAAGAAGCGCATTGGCTACAAGAAAGGCGCCAAAATGATCTGCAAACATGCCTTCTTTCGAGACATCAACTGGACCAGCATGCAAATGCGTGTATATACGCCCCCAATTATCCCACAGAAACAAAACGAAGAATTCGATCGGTCCGCGCCCTGCTACTCAATTCGCACACACATACAAACGCAAATGCCAATAGAACCCTTTGTCCATGGTCAGTACTTCGACCAGTACTAATTTAGTACCACCCAATACTAACCCAAATACCATCCCACCCAATACCACCCAAATACCACCCTAACCCCTTCTCTGTTGGATACGGCTGTCTCTATTAATAACTTATGCAATAAACAACAGTCTTAAGCAATTTAGATTAACTTAGTATTCAATTGAGTTAAGTTAAGTTGAGTTAAGTTGAGTTAGTATTTGATTGGTATTGGGTTAGTACAACTTGATACAAACTCAACTTAATACATAACTTAGTACAACTTGATACATAACTTAATAGACAACTCAACTAGATACTAACTCAACTTAATAGACAACTCAAATCAACACATAACACAACTCAACCCAATACTAACTCAATACACAACTAAATACATAAACCTTATCTAAATATTTATCTAATACTAAACCCAATCAAATACTAACTTAACTTAACTCAATGTCTTATTCGGCAATAGTTAGAATATTATCACTACGTAAAAAGAGCAGTTCATTAGGCCGGCCTTGTTCTACTTTAGCCAGAAGAATATTAATGTGCTCATCAAACATTTTAAGGACTCCAGTGTAATCCTGGCCATTACGCAACCCAACACTCACTCTAACCCCTAGTAAACCCCTTAGATATTCAAGTGGATACATGCTAAGCTAAAAAATTTAGAATGACCCACCAGATCTTCATTGTTTTGGGTATGGCTGGTAGTGGAAAGACTACTTTCTGCCATCGTTTATACTCTTGGTTGTCCGAAAAGTCATTACGTTTAGATAATAGCACTGGTTTGAACAATGCAGTCTTTGGAGTAAATTTAGATCCAGCCGTTTTAACTTCTAAAATGCCTTTACATTATGATATTCGTGACGTCATTGCAATTGAAGAGTTAATGACTAAAAAGAAACTAGGACCTAATGGGGCTATTCTAGCCGTACTTAATTTATTCATAACTCAAATAGATAAGTTTATGACTGAGATAGATAAGGTTAAACCAGACTTTACTATAATAGATACACCAGGCCAAATAGAAATGTTTACTACTTCAGTTTCTGGTCAAATTCTCACTAAATGTCTATCTGCTACTCCAGATACTAAAGTTCATTTACTCTATGTAGTAGATGGAGAAAAAGCACAATATCCTCAATGCTTTATTAGTAATATGTTATTTGCTGCTTCTATTCAATGCCACTTAAAAGAGTCTTTATTACTAGTCGTTAATAAGGCAGACTTACCAGGAGCTGAAGCCTTACAAGCCTGGACACAAGATATGGACTTATTTACACAAGATTTATCCCAAGAAGAGTACATTACTCCAACAATTAGATCAATGGCTCTTTGGCTAGAAGAATTCTATCAAACTTTACCTTTCTGTCCCGTTTCAGCTACTACCGGCATGGGCAAGGCTAAGTTCTTCTCTCTACTCCAAACCCCATCCTCATCTACTCCATCTACTCCATCTACCACCTCACCCAAGCAAATACAAGACGATCTTGCCGCCATAAGAATTTCAAAAACAACCAGTACGCTATCTAATACGCTTGAAAACAATCCAACCCAATCAAACACTAATTCAACTTAACTTAACATGAGATTGGGTTAGTTTGGGTTAGTATTAACTTAACTTAACATGAGATTAACTTAGGATCAACTGAAATCAATAAACATCGTTACTTTACTTAATCTAAATAGTACATCTAAATAAGTACATCTAAATACCCAACTTAACTTAATCAAATCAAAAACTCAATCTAATCTAAATACAACTCAATACAACATTAATACTCAATCTAATCTACATACAACTTAACTCAATCTAATCTAAAAACACAATCTAATCTAAATACAGCTTAACACAATCTAATCTAATCTAAATACATAATCAAAAACTCAATCTAATCAAAAACCCAGTCCAGTCCGCGGATGGGGCAAGTATCCGTGATTCTGGTTTATTAGTAGAAGAAACCGAGTATCTTTCCTCCGGTATGATGGGCTACGCACTCTTTATGATCAAGAATGCCTTTAGAAGTAGTGATAACTACATGCCCAAACTGTCTAGCTGGAAGTAATCGACTACTCCATTGTTCTAACTTATCCAAAGGAACATCAAAACGAGGACAAATAGATCCACACTTGTTCAATCGACCATTCAGAGTTAGAATAGCCTTGCCTTTACGATGATCATTTACGTACTCAATCTCAGAAATGTATCCTTTTAATTGCATATACTCAAGAAAGCTTCTAACTACTTTGTTTGGAGCTCTAATAAGAACTTCTTTTTGTCCTTTGATATTAGCATTGTTAATGGTCTTTAGTGCAGCAGTAAGAATATTCATTGACTAGGGCAATAAAAAAAAGACTAATTAGCCGTTGTATTAAGTTGAGTTAGATTGAGTTGGTATTGGGTGGGGTTGGGTTGGTATTGGGTTTGGTGTTGGATTGGGGTTGGGTTTGGTATTGGTGTTGTTCTTAGATTGAGTTAGTTTATGTGTACTCAGTTTGACTTTAGTTTAGTAAAGTTGGTTTGTGGTGTGGTAAATGGTACTAGTATGAATAAAGGTTTAACTTAGCTTAACTCAACCCAATCCTAACCCAATATCAACCCAATACTAAACTCTACTCTAATTTAAACTAACTAGATCTCTTCATAGTTGGTGAGGATTATCTTGGCTTGTGGGGTATTGGCCTCTTTTTCGGGGGTAGTGCCGTGGGGAATGGATTCTTCGGGCTTGTCGATGCGGCGGGTTTCGCCCCAGGAGAAATCATCAAAGTGCCAGAAGGCATAGACGGGTAGGACAAAGTTCCATATGGGTAGGGAGACAAGATAGATAACAAACCAAATAAAGTAGAGAGGATTGAAGTTGGTGACAAATACTAGACCCATGGGTAGTCCTAAGATGGCAACAAGAAGGATTAAAGGAATCCAGACTGGTTGGATAAGGATGGCTGTTAGAATAAGAACACCGGTAAAGATAATGGCGGCTGGAAGAACAATGGTGCCAAAAAGTTCAAGAACTACAATGAACTGCATAGAACAGAAGAAAGTGCCGCAGAGATCGACTTTGAGTAGCTCAAAAAGATTGTGGATAGTTGAGTTGATCCATCGGCGGCGTTGACTAAGTAGAACGGAAAAACGATCGGGAACTATTGTGTCGCATAGAGCATTAGGGAGGAAGACTAGCTTTCTTTTGGGGAAGTTCTTGAGGAGAAGAGTGGTGAGGTACCGGTCTTCGCCGAGTAGTAGTAGGTTCTTTTCGTGGAGAGTCTTTGTTTCATCACTGCCGTAGGCATGTAATACGGATGGTGCGACTAGAATTGGGGCATGGCTGCCGCCGCGTTCGACTTTGATGCGATACATACAGAAACAGCCGGGAAGGCAGGTGACGTTGCCAAAAATGCTTTCAAAGCCCTTAGTTAGATGGTGACTAGCGTAGTACTCAAAAACTTGGATGGCGGCTACCCAGGAGCCGAGTTTGTTGGAGATAAGGGTTTCGCCGCAGAGACCCATGATGTTTTCATCATTCTGCATTGTTCGGGCCATGATGCGAAGAGCATTGGGACGAACGGAAGTATCGGCATCAACCATAAGCACGGCGCCAAATTCGGAGGGATGCAAGCCGGTTAGAGTCTTGATTGTGCGATAGAGAGCTTGGTCTAGTTGGGTTAGGCGGGTTTTGTAGAGAATGCGGTGGAAGAAGTTCATCACAACCATCTGGCTATCTCGTTTGCCTCGGTTTTCCGTTTTTAGAATGAGAATGATATTGGCTGTGACTGCCCCTCGTTTATCTTCGGCTGTATAAGTGCCGGCATGGACTTCGGCGTGATTGAGTTTAGCTGCGCCGGCGGCAATGGAAATGTACTGCTGTGGGGTGGTGCTGTACTCGGAGGGAACATCATCGCTTGGCCGAATCATAGACTTGAGAATGTCCGGAGTTGATGCTTCGTTGCCCGACCCCGTAATGAATCCATCTGCTACAACGACAATCAGCTTTTTAGTGTAGTCCTGTAGACACAAACTATCTAAGGTGGCTTTAAGACCTTCACGGCCTTCTGAATAGCAAGCAGTCATCATAATAACTGGCATGGTGTCGGTTGAGGAGCGCATGAGCCGCCAGGCTTGAATTCGCGCTACAATCGAATACAACACGGCTAAGACAAACCGACTGATCACCATACTAAGAATAGTCACACAGGAAATGTAAAGAAAACCGTCGGTGATTTGGCAGCCGACTGATTTTAAAGCCAATTCCCCGGCATAGCAAGATTCACGTAGGCACTGCATTTCAATCGGCCGCAATCTCTCACTGGCTCTAGTTGCATCAACGGCATTGTTCAGAAATGAAATTGAGGGTGGCAAAACTGCATCCTGTAGATTGTACACACTACTCCCTATTACAGTTAACCCTCCGCCAAGCACAGAGGACCACGTATAGTTGATCGGGCCAACTTCAGCGTAGTTGCTCAGTTCCATAGTGCCACCATTAACAATATCTTTGCCAAAAGCACTCTGGCAAGAAGGTGTGTCTAGTTTAAACATGCGGCTGACATCAGCCCCAGTCTGGTCGCTCAGTATATCTCCAGGGGCCACATCTAATATCTTTCCTCTAACAATAATCCAAGGTCCTTCTTTAATCTCAAGCATCTTCTCTTTAGTAAAACTCATCTGCGGGATGCAGACGAACATGGTCATTCCGTAGGTAATGAAGGCTAGAAAGCAGCAAGCGATAATGATCATCCAACAAAGAACTACCTTTTCTCGCCAGGCGCTCTGTGCTTCTTTTGACTTTACTCCAAACAATCGCAAAATGAAACCGGGAATGAATGAGGTGCAGAGAGCTGAAAACCCTACCCAGGCACTTCCACTCGACCGTTGTACGATTTGCGAGCTTTCGTGTATATTGTTGTTTTCCATTGTCCAAACAAAACACCTTCTATTAGTATTGAGTTAGTATAGATGGTCTATTTGCTTATATTAAGGAGTTGTCAACAAATAATCTACACTAAGATATTGTTGTTGTTAGATTGCGCTGAGTGAAGTTTAGTAAAGTAAAGATGAGTTAAGTTATGATATGATATAGTTGTGTTGTGTTGAGTGAAGTTTAGTAGAGTTAGTATTGGGTTAGTATGTCCTTCATGTAACTTTTAGAAGCTCTTATCAATCTTCGCTGCATACTTACACTATTGGGTTAGTTTAGTTGGGTATTGGGTTGTTTAAAGCAGTAAGGAATAAATATCTACATTATCTGTAGCTACTCGTTTAAAAGTAGAGATGATTTGAGATTCTCATTAAGATGTATGGTGGGTACAAATACCACAGTTAGATTGGGTTAGGAATTGGTTGGTCATTGTGTTGGTATTGGCTTAGTATTGGTATTGAAATGGTTATTGGTCTAATATTGTGGTGATTATTGGGTATATTTACTGATTGCTCTACCCCACACAACTTAATGATTTCTAATGGAAATGATAAAAGATTAAATTGTACGTTTAATGATCTGTGCTGCTTTATCAAAAGCAAACCACGTAAAGTATTCCCAACCGACATTTGGAAATGCTTCTTTTTGTTGGTATTGGGCCATGCGTGGTGGTGTGAAGGTGTTGCTGCTTTGACTGTAAAAACAGGATCGAATAGTCAGAAGAGTTCAATATCAATTCCAGCACCGGAACCAGTAAAAGAAACTGAAGTTCTGGAAATAATATACAGCTTACAAACAGAGCTGATCAAAGATCTTGATGTGACGGTATGCAATATTTGGCATGTTGGCCTTTATAAAAGACTGAATAAGTTTACGGAACAGTTTCAAAACGATCACTATCCATATTTGAAAAGAGCTCAACAAAAGGCTGATAAGCAGGCCCTTTGGAATACCTGCACACAATACTTACACGAGAATAAGAACAAATATACTAAGGAAACCCTGGATCAACTTATTCATGGCTGCATGCTGAAGGTTTATTTAGAGCATCTTGATCTCGTGCTACCACCTGGGAGGTTTCAAAAAGAGAAGCCAGAACAAGCTAAAAAGGCGGCTTTGCGGGCCTTAATGGACATTGCTTTTATCCTTAAGAACCAGCAACTAATGGACGTGCCCGAGGCTTTTTCGTTGGATCATGTGCCTGCTGAACGTTTCTTTAACATACTAGCTCTCCTTATGCCTCCCCTAACACCCACATATAACCTTGATTTTATCTTTGCGGCACCACATTTATACAATACACCTCTACGTTTCTTCAAATGGAAGTTCTTTAACGGCGGCCTATCAAAAGACGCAACACAGAAACTAACAACTTTCTTTGTGGACCAAATCCAATGCCTTTCTAATGTAGAGACGGAAAGCAACCAATGGCAGTACACCGAGACACTTATGACACCAACTCTTGCCGCTCATTTAAGGAAACTATCTATCTTCCGAGATTTTATAGACACATCCAATTGTTGGCTGATAATACATAAACTTTACATTAAGCAGATTGGCATGGGAGCATGTTCTGCTAATGAGCAAGATCATAGAGTTAAAGCTGCTGCTAAGAAAATAGCATCCAAAAAGAAGTTTAGCGACTCAACTGTCCACTGTCGGTTATATTCTTTTACAGATTCTAGTGAAGTCGTATTCTTAAGCTCCAAGGAGAATCAGCTCTTTCTGCTCCCTGATAGACTGGTTCTCATACTAGAGACGTTAGATGTGCCAGAAGACTTTTTCTTGTATCTATTCCAGACAAAGCCATGTACAAAGATTCACTTGATTTTCGCTTCATCTGTGGCCAATGATAAGGCCGGAATAGAAAAAGTAACCCAGATGTTTTCTAAGTCCAAGCACAAAAGGCGCTGTTTTTGGCCACTCGGCTAGACATTCTCATATCTGATTGTGATTAGTACCCAAGCAGTGCGGTGGACATGATTGCCGCGAGCAGGCTTTTGTGCATGTACTAACCCAAATGAGAACTGATCTTTGAAATAGAAAGCCCGTCGTTGTTTTATTTCCTAGTAGAACATACTAACCCAATACTAATCCAACCCACTACTAACTCAATACTAACTCAATACTAACTCAATAGGAAACTATCTTATCAGAAAATATCTTGTCTACACATAAATCTGTAAATAAATCCGATAACTTGAATAAAGAACCAAACACCCCAACTCCATTTATAATCGTTCTAGTAGTTACTGTCATTGAGATAGCTATCTACAATATCCTATCTATACATTTCTACTTAATAACCCAATGAGCTTCAGTCTAAGAAGTCTTCTCTCAATCTATTTGCGCAGCTAAGAATATGGTTTCAGCCGCGCAGTAGATGAACAAGATAGCAGAGAACTCCACCAAATAATTATTCTAGACTATCATAATCAATAAACTCAGCACAATACTAACTTAATACTAACTTAATATCAACAAAATACTAACTCAACTCAACATAATACTAACTCAACTCAACTCAACTTAACTCAACAAAATACGAACACAATTCTAATCTGAATATAACGCATTTTCGGGCAGATTTTTTACCCATATGGCTAGACATCTAAAACAGACCGGCTTATCTCAGAAAGAACGGGTTGGAATTGGGCTAGTTACTTCAGTAGTGGTTACCTCGCTTGGAACTAAAGTTTTGGCCGATGATATTATGCCTTCAATCATTGCCTCGATCAAAAACAGCTATAAATTAGACGTGCAACCGCAAAAGATACTTTTAGGCGAACGAGTATCAACGCGCAAAGCTTCTTTTTCCTTTTTTGGCAATTCGTCAACTGATATCGCAATTATGAAAATGCGGATTTTGGCCGCCGATTTAAATATTGTTGTTCTTGATAGCGAGATTGATAAGCAGGTAGAAGAGGTTTTGAAAACAGCCAGACAAGGCAATCTTCTTTTCCTGTCCTACACTAAGACCGTCTCCTCTGATCTCAAAAAGTACGCCAAGTCCGTCTTTGGTAAGAGTAAGGTGTACACTTTAGCTGATATAGGCCGAGTACTCGAGGCTAAAACAGTTGTCAACCAAAAGAAGGCCGGACGGCCCAATCTAGTGGCAGACTCCATTGAAGTTCTTTCAGACACTGCTGTTAAAATCACTGGCTATGTAGAGAAAGGCTTTACTTCTTTTAACGTGCTTATGAATGGTACTTTACCAGGTAAAATAGTTCAAATCACCGCACCCAATGGCCCTGTGTGTTTAAAGAGTCTTAAAACTCTTACTAAAGACCAGATCTATGGTCCTTCTCTTAGTCCTGCTGAAAACAAGTTTATCTCGTTAGTTGAGCAGGTTAGAATTACCGACCAGCCCATGGAGTACTCCGATGACTCACTCGGAGCCATTCAGATGGACGAGAGTGAAGAAAACCATCCAGAGTCCAATGAAGAGGAGTCTTCTGATAGTATTAATAGCTCTGAATACCAAGCTGACTATGCGGAGGACCAACTTAACCCGGCAGCTGATTCAGAAGAAGAATCCAGTGATCTCTTACCTTATGAACCTATGGAAACAAATACTGATGAAATCAGTGCCCTTACCAATCGCTATCGCGGCTTCAAAGGCTTCCAGACTATTAATCTTGGTATGCATAAGAACGCTAAGGATAACAGCCAGCTCAAGCTCTTCCGTATGCAAAACCTACCTGAGTACTACAAGGACCTTAGCTTTGTCAGCTCCGAACGGGCTCGCAAGAAGATTCTCGCTAAGCCAAGCCCAGTACCCGTCCGCGTGCCTCTAGAAATCGTGGTTGAAGTTGAAGGCGGCTGGAATGCTTTGCAGCGTGTTATTGCTGATGGGTTTTTGAACCTCTTTGGTCTGTTCGATTATGAAGGACTTCCTACTATTGTTACGCTGGAATTCTCTTCTCAGGCTAATATTACTCCGGAAATGGCCGGCACAGTTGTTTTTGACTATGGCTTTGCCCTGGCTAAACCAACTAATATTGCTATTGGATCTGGAACTGAGATTATTAAGTGCCGTCGGGAAGGTAATTCTGGGACTCTTTGTTTTGTTGGTCCTCTTATCCTGACAGAAAGTAAGATTCATCTTATTCACCACAACGCTTTCTTTGGTGCTGGAGTGCAATCTCTAAGAAAAGACCCTATTCTTATCAAAACCGTTGTTTTCAAAGGACTTCCTGTCAAGATAAGAAAGAGATCCTGTGTGGTTGGTCGTATGTTCAAGACTCGAGATGAAGTTCTTTACTTCCGGCACATCAAAATCTACTCCAGTGAACGCAAAGAAGGCCGTATTAAGCGCCCACTTGGCCAGCACGGTCTAATGAAGTGCTACTTCTGCCCACCAGTTAAGCATGGTGAAAAGATCTATATGGAACTGGCCAGAAGAGTCTTCCTCTCCCATTCACCCCTTCTTACTCAGCCCAATCCATAAATAAACGTCTTATCTAAACTATTGTCTAACTAATATCTACTAACTCAATACCAATTAACTGTGGCACGCCGAGCATGAAACTCGCCCAGTTTGAAATACAAAAGCCCTCAGCAGGTGAGACTTGGAAATTATCTTTATTGAGTCAAAGTACCCAATGAGCCTCTTTTCTGTCTCTAGGACCAGGACTACAACCTTTCATCCCTAAGGGTAGATTTAGAAGCGGACTGTGCTATATTTTATTCGACTATACTTACTCGAGAGTTTTAGATAAGCTTTTATAGATTAGATGGTGTTAGTATTGGTGTTGGTATTGGGTTCATTGGTCAATGCCTACTCTATTAACGACCTTCCTTGAGACGAGTATCGATGTGATTTGTTAAGTAAATATGGTTGTGTGAGGATGACGTCATATTGAATTGTAGGGTAGATATGTAAAACTAAATTGGTTGAATCAGATTGACTCTATTAAAGTTGCAAGGCGTAATTAGCTGGCAAAACATTAGGTTAGTATTGTTGGGAGCTAAGTAGTGGTCGTATTGGTTTGGTATTGGGTTGGTATTGAATAGATATACTTAGAAAGTAAGTCTTTTTGATATTCTACTAATTTAGAGAATTTGCTTGGCTACAACTAGAATCTTTTTGATATTGATATAGTATAGTCTATAAATAAAATGTGAGATAGCAAATTGTAAAATGAACAAAAGGTTAAATGAATACTCTTTGAATGTTTATCAAGTAGTTTGCTTGGTTATTGGATTGTGTTGTGTCTGGTGTGATACTGTTGGGGATTTAAATAAGATGGGGTCGGCTGGTCCATCTAAAAGAAGCGGGACAAGTAGAGATAATCAAATAGCATTGCATTTTATTGACATATCCAATGCAATAAACGAAATGCAATCCTTAAGGAATCAACAATCAATACGAATAAATGCAATAAAGAAGTACCAACAGAACCTCAAGGAAGAAAAGCATGAGGCTTCTGAGAACATGAACTCAACCCAAAGCGATTGCAGCTTCTCTGACAAATCAAAGGATAGATTCAGACAGAAGAAGATTGAGTTACTATCTATACTAGTCAGAGAAGAAGTAATACAGAAAAGTGTTAATATAGTTGCCCAACAAATGGACCAATGGTTAGAGGAAAGCAAGAATACCCAGCTGCAACTGGGATCGCGAATAAAGAGCCTATGTAAGCTGGCAAAGATAGCACAACAACTAAAACAAATTAAGACTGACGCAATGGGCCCACAAAGTCAATCCCCCGATTCATGCAGAAGCATACTTGAAGATGGTATAATCGCATTAGGTGTCCGATACAATTCCTATGGATTAAAAAGGCGAATCAAAGTGATCATAATAGAAGAACTAAAGAAAATACTACCTAGGATTGGTCTGTTAGGCCGGGACAATATAACTCGAGTTGTGGATTCAGTGATAGATCAATTCTTGGAACATGATGAACTCGAAAGCTCCAACATCATATTTAGGATAATTAAAGAAGCGCTAGTTTGGCTTGATAATAAGTCTAAAGAAATGGAAGTCAAAAGTGAAAGTAAACAGAAGCCCACAGACTCAGAACCCTCTACTTCAAGAGCACAATCAAGCAATCCCCAAACTAACGAATCAGGCATGGTTGAAGAAGCGCTAGCCCAACTTGATAATAAGTCTAAAGAAATGGAAGTCAAAAGTGAAAGTAAACAGAAGCCCACAGATCCAGAGCCCTCTACTTCAAGAACTCAATCAAGCAATCCCCAAACTAACGAATCAGGCATGGTTGAAGAAGCGCTAGCCCAACTTGATAATAGGTCTAAAAAGATGAAAGTCAAAAGTGAAAGTGAAAGTAAACAGAAGCCCACAGATCCAGAGCCCTCTACTTCAAGAACTCAATCAAGCAATCCCCAAACTAACAAATCAGGCATGGGCGGTAAACCTCATTCAAGTAGGAGGTCTGCTGGCTAAGATTCTACGCTATCTTTTAATGGATATGGACCTAACCTATCCGAGTTGGATCAACAGGATTGTGCACTTAAGTTAGGCCCAGAGCAAGAAAAGCTCCTCCGGGAGTTTATAAGTGGCGGTAACCAGTACGTATTCAA